TTGTTCCCAATGACTTGAATCCTATTCCTCTAGATTTCGGCGAAATTCTCATCCCCTGGCTCACATTCGTATCTTCTTGCAATGCAGCGCTAAATGTCGTCCAACATTAAAAAAGTCGGAGGAATGACGAGCAAGCGAAAGTGGTCTCATTCCGAAGCTTTACAGGACTTTGTACGACCTTGAAAATAGACCTCCCCCCTCCCCGCCCTCTCCGCTCTGATGGGCAAGCGCCGTCAAATTAGCGCTCCTCTTACCGCAGAAAAGCGAAAGAGCAGATTTAGTATACCTCCACTGCAGACTATCCTTAACCACGCAAGTACGTCAACAATATGTGGATTAAAAGCCGCTCGAAAAAGTAGTCACCCACCCTTACGGGGCTGAATTTCGACGCTTTTCAAGAACTAGCTGGGGCGAGATGGAATACCAGATTTGGAGGATCTGTAAATCTTGACGGCGTTAGTGTTTTGACGAGCCATACGTCAACCATTTAATGACAGCTGCTAGCTGGAACGCGAACGAACCAGCGCTGTCCAGTTTTAGCTGATAGGACTTATTTCCGTTGACTTTTTTCCGTTCCAAATGCGGTGACATCTTGATTGGGGATACCTCCCGGATTAGGATAAAAAGATTTGACGCCAGTGTATCGTGTGTCTGAACTGATGTGGGTTCTCAGCCGCTTTACTGGCTACGTGATGGCTTTTCAGTTGAAGGCTCAAATTACTCCCATGTTAAAGCTGGGACTCCGTCTAGCGACCCACCTTTATGGAAATGCTGGCATGGTGGGGGCGTATCAAAGAGCCAGGACTCGTAATTGTTCTTGTCTATTCCCTAGGATTAGCCTACGTCAACCTGATCGAGACATTCAGATGGATCGTCCTGTCCATCAGGTCCTGGCAGCTCGAGGTGTGGGTTGTCCTCGTGGTCCATTTGGTTCTAGTGCGTCATTGAGCTTACCAGGCACACTGGGAGCTCGTTCCTTATCTGTCCCGCCATAAGCGTCTGCATACCCGGGTTCCACAACAGGACCAGGAGGTTCACGTAGGCCAGTTGGACCCCTTTTCCTCCACTGGCATAAGCACCCGGGAAG